ATTTTGTTAGAGTTTTCTTTTTTTTTTTTCTTTTTTTCATAGCAACAACAACCACGACAACAACAATTTTGTTAGAGTTTTCAAGATGAGTTTAGAAGTGTTACTTCATTGGATTACGTTCCCTGTCGGTTTTGCCCATGGGTTGGGTAATTCCATGACATCATTGACTATCCGTGGGTAAGACACTCAGGCTATTGATTTTTTGTGTTCTTAGTTGGTAGTGGGTGAGTAGGATGAAACCATTGAATATTTTGTTTATGTGTTGGTTGGTGGTCTGTTATCGAGCTTGGATTTCGCTAGAATCATTAGGGTTGTTTCATAATGGTGATTTGGAGAAAAGGGTAGATTAGGATTTGAGTCTTGTTAAATTTGGGAAGGTGAATTTTGTTTTAGGGTTGGGATTGGGATCATTGGTTTTCGTAACCTTGTGAGGCTGTGGTGGGGATAGGTTTGGCCGGGAGTGGCTTACTTAGCCCGTTTGACTGCAGCAAATGATGTAAGGGGCACACTGGGGCCATTTCCCGGATATATGGGGGGGGGGGGGGGGGGGGGTCTTTTTTGGGTTGTTGGTGAAAAAAGGGGGGGGGGGGGGGGGGGGGGGGTTGGGGGGGGGGGGGGGGGGGGGGGGGGGGGGGGGGAGGAGGGAAACAATTTGGAAAATCCTTCGAACACAACTTAGGTTCCTGAGACCAAATACAGTCCTCGTTTTTTCCCCTTCGAACACAACTTAGGTACGGGAACATACCTGCAATGAATTGCAGTGCTACAAGCGGGCTGTATACTAATTGTGTCCCTGTCGTCATTGTCGGGACTTGATCCCACAACCTTCGTCTGCTGTGTTGCCTGTTTGCTTGCTGTTTGTTTGTTTTGAGCGTTGTGGGACTTGATCCCATGACCTGTAACCTGTTGTTGTTGTGTTTTTTTTTTGTTTTTTTGTTTTTTTATTATTATTATTATTATTTTTAGTGTGTTTTGTTTGTGTTTTGTTTGTGAATGTTGAGCCCTTTTTTTTTTTTGAACCTCTATGAGTGTTGAGCCCTATGGGGCTTGATCCCTGAGTCTGTTACTCATAGTCTCTGTTTGGTAGTCCTAGGCCATTCGGCAGCCTTTTCATTTTGCCTTGTCATAGGTCTAGGCCCCCTTTTCCCCTGTTTCCATCTAGATACAGATGAGTCTTGGGTTGGCCCCCTTTTCCCCTGTTTCCATCTAGAAACAGACGAGTGTTGGGTTGTTACCTTTGGAGTCCATGGTAGGTCTAGGCAGAGGGTAGAAGTACCGGGAAGGAAAATCAGTTCGGGAAGGAAAGTTAGTTTGGGTCTTTTCTCGTGGTTTTTGCTGGGGAAACTCTGCCCGTTTTTTGCTGGAGCGCTGCTGCATTATTTTGGGCGAGGGCATCTTCTTCCTCGAAGCCCAGCCATAGCTGGGGCTGGGACACGGAGTTGGAGATCACACTGCTGCTATTCAGCAGCTCTGCACGAGAGCTTCCACAGGGCCGTGTTGTTGGGTCTGGGCGCTGCCATTCTCCACTTGGCAGCCACAACTGCTGTTCCTCCTCATGAGGAACTTAATTTTTCTCTTCGTCGAAGTGTTGGATCGGTTGTCTCCTTCTTCATCAGGACTTCCAGCGCTGCACTGCCATGCAGTCGCTGAGCTGGCGCTGCTATTTTTGGGGTTGCTGGTTCAGACTGGCAGGTTGTGACAGCTGTGGGGTTACTGCTGCTGGGGCCGCCATAGCCAGGCAGCCATAGCCAGGGAGGGGGTATGAGGTGGCGAGGAGGAAGAAGAAGAAGACTCCTGCATGCATGCTTCATTGAACACTTGTTTTTGGTTGTTCGGGGTTGTTGTAAACGCGGTTGTGATTCGTGGGACAAGTACTTTGGATTGATTAGAGAAGGACGGGGGGTTACAGAATTGAAAATCGGTTTTCAATTCTTTGTGTATTTTGAGCTTCTGCTGTGCATATCTTCTCTCCGGTTTTGTGTGGATTTGCCTCCTTCAAGTCTACTCTCTGCCATTGCATGCTGGGTAAAAGAAAAAGAAAAAGAAAAAGAAAAAGAAAAAGAAAAAGAAAAGAAAAAAAAAAATCATCCTTACAAGCTGGCTAACAACAGGTCCTTCAACTTTTTCAAGTCACTTCACTTGGTAGCGAAGACCAACATCACATCGTCGAATCGTCGACAAGCCTATCGATTGTCAAAAAAAAACACATTGCGAGTACCTTCCCACGTTTTTAATGAATTGGAACTCAAGAGTATGCACACATGATGCAGGCCAAACGGGGGCTCGTTGTTTTTTGTTTTGCCCATGGGGATACCAATGACCTGCTGCAGCAAGACCTCAGTTGCCTTGGTGTAGGTATGTCAAAGCTCTAGCTTAACAAAGGACAAAATATCACAAGTGGTTGCATACACCTCCAATGATCGCTGCCCGTCGTCTTACCAATGGACGCTCCCTTACCTCTCGTATTCACCATGATCGCCGTCCGTCCTTTTGACAGGTGAAAATCAACAACAACCCATTCTACCGCCCCGAGTACATCCACATGTGGCAATCTACTGAACATCTCCTTTATATCAAAGGAGAAAGCTAAGATCGAATACTCCGGCCCTAAATGTGCAACACGCTTGTTTATGGTACCTAAGTGATCCGCCAAACACGACACAGCGGGTAAATTGAAATGCCAACTCCACGACATGGTGGACAGCAGATGACTCAGTGCACGATAAACCATACGTTCGTCAAAAGGAGGACAAATGGGCCTGTATCTATACCCAGATCCTTATGTTTGTTGCATGATATATGCTGAACCGAACTCACCCGATCCCTTCCATTTCACAAATTTGCTCAGACCAGTATCATCAAGTGACATTAACCTCTTCCTTGATTTCTCGCAGCACTTCCTGTTCTAGGACATTTACTAACCGGAAAGGGAAAAAAAAAAAAAAAAAAAAAAAAAAAAAAAAAAAAAAAAAAAAAAAAAAAAAAACTATTCCGTAACCAGATTACAAAGGAAGGTTGTCATCAAACCATCGAAAAATAGAGGAGGGCACATTACCAGGATCTCACCAGGATTCCGATCCACACACGAGAGTACTAAACCCTCGAATTTTCATTTCACACCTCAGCTACTTCACTCGCACACAGACAGCACCCCGGACCGGATACGAGACCAGTTTTCTGACAAACGCGCAGCTAGTGCCTCCACGGATACTTGAGGCGGCATCGTGCGACAATTACCCCATCCTTCAAACCCCGCAGCGATTTCCTGTTGCCGGATTTGGATCCTGTCTTTCTTTCTTTCTTTTTTCTTCTTTTCCTTTCTTTTTTTTTTCTTTTCCTTCTTTTTTTTTCTTTTCTTTTTCTTCAGAGTACGAGGGAGTCGGAGGGACATTCTTCGCATTATGCAAGAGTGGGTGAATTCCCTCCCGGTTGCTCAGACGAAAACAGACATGCCCTTCCTCACGAGGGAAGGGTAAACCTGCACAAGTACAGGTGAGCACACGCCGAGCAGAAAACGCTCGCTGATTGCGTGCTAAATCCAGTAGATTTGGTCGTGTGATCTTCTCCGGAAAAATATTAGGGAAAAAAAAAAAAACACTTGTTTAGACAGTGAAACACTCGCCGTACCTAGGGCATCATTAGACACTACTCGGGGACGCGATTCCAAGGATTCCGTCGTCGTTCCACCTGTCCTCGGAGATGAAATCGGAAATGAAAATGTGAAAACACTCCGAGGACACCTCCGAGGATTTCCCAGCCAAATCGTCCTCGAACTCGAAGGTCCTTCGGAGCCCGAGGATCCGTGTTTAAGGGCATGCACGTAGAGAGACGTTACAACCCAGAATCCTGATCGTGGCGGCACCCTATTGGCTGCAAGCCTGAAGCACAACTTTTTTTCTTTTTTTTTTCCTTTTTTTTTTCTGACATTGCTCCGAGGATGAGTCCTAAAACAGATGCTCCGAGGATGAGTGGAACGAAGACAACAAAAACCCTAAACTTTTCCGAGGATTCATCCTCGGAGCCCGAGGATGCCCTGAGGAGTGTCGAACGACGCCCCTATTCGGTGCATTTTCCATATTTGTGGTTCTGCCACCTATGGGCCAGCAGAAAAGTACCCCAACCACCAAAAAAAAAAAAAAAAAAAAAAAGTACCCCAACTTCATCGATTTTTCACCCTCAGATTAATATACAGAAAAATCTGGAAATTTATGATCCGGTAGATTTGGTCGTGATCTCTCCAGGAAAAATATCAGAAAAAAAAGAAAAAAAAAAGTTCAGGCAGCGAAATGATCATCGCACCGATTTGGCACAAATTCCATTTTTGCCACTCTACTGGTTCTCCACACTATGCTACCGGTAGCCCTCATGAACTTGTACTACCAGTCCCCCTAACTTTTAGTTGGGGGGGAAGTGGTGGTTTAAATTTCTTGTTACATACAGTAAGGTCATACTCGCACAAGATCTTTTCCGAATGTGTCGAACTGCAATTCAGCGAGACCCGGATGAACCTGACTGCAATCATGTCCAGAGCTTAGTGCAAAAAGTCCTAGAGTGGTGACAAAAACTTTCTGCGAGGCTGGCGTGGTGTACACACGGCCCCAGCCATATGGAGATTGGCTTGACACCTCCCACAGTTTCGCGCTTCGGGCCTACCGGACCACAATGGCTGGCAGCACAAGCCAAAACAAAAAAAAAAAAAAGTGCACTGCTGGCGGTTCGGAAAAGTTTGGCATGCAGTGCAGCGCCTCCTCCAGGCCCGGGTGTACCGATGGTTTAATGGGCTCTTCTCGGCTCCCCGAGAGGGGGGCCGTCGGCCCAGCACAGCCCCAGTGCCCAGCACTACAGATGTGTTAACAGAGCACGAACTCGCTCTCTGTCTGTGCTAAAGAGCATGAACGTGGTCTTCATACAGGCCGGGTCCATGCTACCTTAGCAAGGCATTCAGGCTTACACTGAACAGTTGACAGCAGCTACAGTGGCTCAAAATGGTTTTCCACCATGAATGAATAGCACGTTTACTTTTTCCATGAACGCAGCTAAGCAAACGTATTTGAAAAGTTTATCTGAAAAGTTTATTTGAAAAGCTCAACTGAGAAAAAAAGACCCTTTGGTAAAACAACTCTCTTTCCTTCCTGCCAGAGCTTGCTAACGTAAAGGAAACATACACAAACTTCAAAAGGAGATTACAAGTCCGACACAAAAAAGACGAAAAAAGATGAAAGAACACATGAAGATGAAAAAAGGCGATAGATATATCGCATGGACGCATAACACCAACATCTCTGAAAGCGAATGGTGCTACACGCTCAAGCATCATTCCGGCATACGGCCAGCAGCAGACAGTATGCAAAGAATGGCATTCCGCCCCGCCCCCCGCGCACCTCCCCCTGCCTTCACTCTTCCCACTGCTCTGGCTAGGACCGTCCTGCCAGCCTCTCCCCAGCAAAATAGAAGAAATTAAGAGGAAAAAATACAAATACACTGCTTTCTACAGTAGCCAAGTTAGGAAGGAATCCTTCTCCTTAGCTATCCGTCCTTCTCCTTAGCTATTCATCCTTCTCCTTGGCTATTCAACTTTTCCAAAAACTGTTTGAGATTATACTCCTCTGAGTACTGAGTCTCATCCCACAGCTCCTCGAGCCCGTTGAGCATCGACTTGAGACCTCTTGCTTTCCCTTTCATCGGCCTTGCTGTGTGCGAGGAGTTACCGTCCCCGCCAGATCCTTCGCCGCCCTCCGATGTATCCCTGTCATTGTCTCGCTCATCACGCGCTCGCGGCCTGCCTCTTGTCGCCGTCTTCGCGGCAGCCGGACCCGTCGCAACAGTGAATAGATCGAGGAGCTGACCCGTGTCCATCGAGTTCAGACTCGCGTTCTCCGAGTTCACAACTGTGTTCGCGATGTTCAGTTTGAATCGCTGCAGACCCATTATCTTCTCCTCGAGCGTGCCCCTCATGATCAGTCTGTGAACATTCACTACTCGCTTCTGTCCCAGCCGATGGGCCCGGTCCATTGCCTGCAGATCACGCATCGGGTTCCAGTCGTGATCCATAAATACAACAGTATCGGCAGAGGTCAAGTTCAGTCCGAGTCCTCCGACCTGTGTCGTAAGCAGCAGCACGTCGATCGTCGGGTCCGCATTGAATGTGCGGACCACTTCAAAGCGCTTCGCCGGCTCGACAGACCCATCGAGCCGCATATAGGTGACCCCCTTCATGTGGAGCTTGAAAAGGTCTTTCTCTATAATATCGAGCAGCGCCTTCATCTGCGCAAATACCAGCACCCTGTGATGGCCACTCCCATCGACAGCGTCCACTCTGGATGGCAATCCCGAAAGCCCGGATGCATCCCCTCCGCTCCCAGGAAGGCAAGACGATCCTCCTCCACCCGCACCGTCCACACCTATTCCGCATTCTTCAAGAATCTGCTTCAGAGCCAAAAGCTTGGGAGCATGGCACAGTTCGTGAAGTCCCAGCGTCGACACCGCCGACGGAGGCAGCCCCCCCCCGTTCACCGACGCCGTGACCGCCTCGGACCTGAGTGCCGCCACGTGATCCGGGTTTGTTTCATCGAACACCAGCAAGGGATGGCTGCAGAGCTTTCGCAGGTATTGCAATGCCTGGAATACATGTGCAGAAGAGGGCTTGCTGTGACTTTCATCGAGAGCAGGATCCGAGCCATACGCTTCTACCAAAGCCGTGACCTCCTTCTTTGCCCTGGATCGCGAGAAGTTCTCGTACAACCGAAGCTGAAGTGGACTGAGATCGCAGTACCGATCCTGGATGATCTTTGGCGGAAGATCTGCCAAGACATCGTCTTTGGTTCGACGCAGCAAGAATGGCATCACCTGTCTGTGCAGCGCCTCCATCGCCAATACACCTGCTTCGGCCTCCTTCGCAGTGCACTTCGGATCCCTTGCAGCAACCAAGGGCTTCCCATATGTTGCCTGAAACAGCCGCTCGGTCCCCAGAAAGCCCGGCATCAGAAAATCAAACAGCGACCAGAGCTCCAACACATTGTTCTGAATCGGTGTTCCACTCAAGATGAGCCGATGTTCTGCGCAAATTCGCTTCACGGCCTGCGTGATCTTCGACTTTGTGCTCTTGATGATATGCCCTTCGTCAAGAATCAAGTAGTTCCATACCACCTTCTCGAGAAACTCGACATCTTTCCTCAAGACGTCGTAAGCGCAAATGATGACGTTATGCTTACCGAGCATAGACCGCAACTGGAGTCTGTTGTGAGCATGCCCTGTGTACTGCGTCGGTGACAGGACATCATCACCAACAAACTTTTGGATCTCATACTGCCAGTGCCCAACCAGCGTCGAAGGACAGACAACAAGAGAGGGCACCAAGGCCACGTCCGGTCTCTGCTGGCGCACAGCAGCAGCTCTCCGCTCCGCCGTGTCCGATGCCATGATTGCCGTTGCCTGGAGCGTTTTTCCAAGGCCCATGTCGTCGCACAAGATCCCGTGCAATTTGAAACGCTTCAGGAATGCCAGCCAGTTTATCCCCTCCTGCTGATACCTTCTCAAGGTACCATTGATTGCGACCGGCAAACGGTAATCCTCAATCCGCGAGTTGTCCAGCAGTTGTTCCAGGAACCTGGAGTCTTCCGCACTCTGCGACAGCTGAGCCTCGCTCAGCCCCGGAGGTGGTCCCATCCCTCGGGCCAGAGGCAGAAGAGGCACAAGAGTAGCAAAACTGTGTGTAACACTTTCCCTCACACTTGCATTCGGGTCTGCCATTGTTGTAAGAAGAGGCACGACAAGCAGACCCGCATACGGTACAAACTGTGAGCCCATGACCTCCACCAGCGCTGAGATCGTCACTGCGGCCCCACGCCGTGATGGCAGGCAGGACATGTCACCCAGCATCGGCACCACACGCAACAAGACCATTGCCATTACCACCTCCTTCGCCATGCATGCAAGCGATGCAATGCAGTTTGCAGCAGCCTTGCGAACTGCAAAGTGAGGATGCCTCACGCACCCGAAGACCGGCGGCAAAAGACATAACATCCTATCGTGCAGTGAGGGATGCACGGCTGGTGCAAGCGATCGGACAACCTGAAGACACTGTACGAGGTCCCGAGGGGAGCCGTTAAGCTCCGGCAGCGGAGCATCCACCCATGATCCTACTCCATTGTGGTCGCGTTCCGTTCCAGCGCCCCTCCACGTGCCAGGTCCAAGTTTCTCGGTCATGCATTCCCAGAGTTTGGGAAGCACCTCAAAGACCTGCCCTGGAAATCTGTCGCAGAATGCTTTGAGTGAGAACTCAGCGCCTCTCCTCGTGATGGCGCCTTCGATCCTTGCTCGTTCTTCCACAACTCCCGTGCCTTCTCTCCTTCTGTCCGCAGTCAACGACGCGCCACCTTTCTCTCTCAGCTGGTCTTGATCTGCATCTTGATCCCCCCCCATCTCCCCTGGCCCAGAATCCAGCACCTGCGGCGTTTCAACAGGGTCAGCACACACATATGTGCATATGTTCTTGACAATGCGATCGTTCGGACTAGGCTTTCGGCATACGCATTGTGAAACCAACTCAGCCAAGGCCAAAGCCGCACGCAGCTGCAGAGACGCTTCCATCTCTCGCTTGATGGCCGCCATAAGAGGCTGCACAAAAGGGTTGAGCTTCATCGGTAGCTCGCCCATCCAGACAACAGCACCAGCCACAGAAGCAAGCACACTTGTGTGGAGATTGAACTGCACTGAGCGCAAGTAGCCTGCTGTTGAAAGCAGTTTTTGCCGTGCGCTTTCGAGCACATCATGGCGGCCTTGAGATGAGGAACTGCCTCGCACAGCGCTTGCGTGTCCCAAGAACTCTGCCTTGGGAACTGCCACTGCGAACGAGATAGCAGAGTCGACTCCGAGGCTCTCTGGCACGCAGGCGTCCCCACCATACATGCTCCTTGGGATTCCAACCATGTCTGCACTTCTCACCAATCCAGCAACTTCGCTTCTCATCTTCGCATACACCCTAGCCATCTCTGCATAAGGCGTACTCATTCCAGGAGTGGGTTGGGAGGCATCCGCCGCGCAGCTCAGAAGCGCAAACATTCTTTGACGCTGCTGTTGGAGAGCCTCGGGCCACTGGCACGCTGGAACTGCTGCTGCACCAGGAGAGCTGCTCGGGATAACCAGTGGTGCTCTGCTTCTCCTCTCTCTAAACCAAACCACCATTACCATTGCCGCCACCTGTCGAGAGGTCGCACTGACAGAACTGAGCAAATCACCCAGCGGGTTGATGATCATGCCAAGCTTCTGTTCCGGCCAGACCGCGGCGAGCACTCCCAGAGCCTCTGACGTGGCCACCCTCATCTGCACAGCTGCAGCCTGTCCGTCAACCCCTACCTTCATACCAGCAGGCTTTGCAGAAGACACACTATCATCCCCGGCGAACGCAGCAGCTGCCAATTCTGACTCCGCTTTCGCTGAGCCTCTCCCACGCCCGGCAGCTCCCGGTTTCCCCAAAAGGCCTTTCTTTGACGTCGTTTCTAAGGGTAAACTGGTGTCCAGCTCCGTCCCAGCAGGCGTGGACGCAAGTTTGAACCATTCGCCGACCCACTGCCACGCCGCTGCAACTACGGCAGACTGGGGACACTGAAGCAGCAGACGCCACACTCGCTGCGAGTAGCTCACCATTGCTTCCTCTCTTTCCAGCAGCAGATTGTGGAATACCAGCCGGAGAGCTCCAGGCAGTATGGCAACAGCCCACGAGGGAGCTGCACAACTTCTCCCATAACCACCCATTCCGGCCCCCTCCTCTCCTCCCATCCTGTCCCCACCTCTCGCTTGCGCCCCGTGCTCCCCGGTCATCAGCAAGCGTTCCAAGGTGCGGACTGCAGCAAGCCGGACAGCAGAGATCGTGTGCCGCAGAAAGGGGAACAACCGAGGTGCCAGGTCAGCCAGCGACGTCAGCTGATCTTCTGCCAGGTTGTCATCCTCATCCCCGACCAGATCCTCATCATACCCTTCACTCTGTGGCTGGTTATTGAGGTCAATCAAAGAAGATGACAGCACTCCGGAATCCCCAGGCACCACCACACCCGGCTGAGAGTATAGCTCTGCCAACAGGTTCATCACACTGCTCGTAGATGGACTTAAGTCGTCAAGATCCATGAGAATGTTCCATAAAGCCCGCAAAATCTGCTGCACACACTGTCTTCCTTGCTTGACAATGGCGCCGGCGGCAGGCGCCAGTGCATCTGCAGCCACGGCTCGGACATCGTCATCTGCATCCCTCAGCCCTTTCATCACAGCAGGCAGGACACGTGGCAGAAGGTCATGGACCATATCATCCCTCACTGCAACAAGGTACCGGATTCCCAGAAGACTGCCATGCCGGACCTCCCACTCAGAACTCCCCTGCATTCTGAGCAGCACATCAAGCGCCTCGAAGACGTGTCTACGTGACACGTGTTTCATGACCACCCCGATCGCCTGCGCGCAACTCTCTCTCACCGGCGCCACCACTTGGTCCGACACGTAATCACCGAACCGGTCAAGCGCAAAGACGCAGAGCAGCCGTATCGCACAATCCTGCAGCCAAGCCTGATTGGCTCTTCTCGCTCGGATCGCTGCTTCGATGCAATTACCCAGCGCAGGATCGTCGTTGCCAATCACGGAGGAGTCGGGCAAGAAGAGAGACGACGATCGATTGCTGACACCAGACGCTGCTCGCTGGACAAGGGAGGAGGAGGAGGAGGAGGAGGCGAAGTCCTCACGTAAAGCCTCATCCTTGCAAATCCCTCTCTGCAAACCCCGTACCTCTTCAGCCCCCTTTGCTGAACATAGATCCCCCGCCATTCCCCCTCCCCCTCCTCCTCCTCCTCCTCCTCCATCGGCCTTCAATCTGCCAAGAACATCTAGATGACTACAGCTGTCTACGGCAACTGGGGTTCGATCCCCGGACCTATCGCGAGGGAGCTCGATCGAATCCAGCGGTTCTGACTTCACATCTGCTGCCTGCATAGCCGCAGGTCTCTTCATACCCTCTCCTCCCGCCACTATTTCTGCGCAAGGGACTGCAGCAGCAATGCCGCCGCCATCCCGATCCCGACGTGATTCTGCCCATCCTTTGTCCTCGATAACCGCCACTTGGCGCGCATTCTGAGCCTCTCTTTCGCACCCAGATTCTCCTCTTCCGCCATCATCATCAGACTTCCATCTGTTCGACGCTTCACTCGCAAGAAGAAGACGTGCACGCGCAAGTTTGGTGTCATCTGCATCGAGTCGCCAAACCGGTTGATAGGGAGGACGAGGACCCTGGCGCTCTATTTCACTGCAGGTAACCTGCTGTGCACACTGCAAGTCGCCGCCACCAACAGCCGCTCTTCCCGCCGCCGCCGGTTCGAAATCCAGTTGGGAAGAGAAGCGGTCCATAGCACAGCAGGCAGCCGGAGCGTTTGCCGCCATAGCCGACCTCGCTACGGCCGCCTCAATGCAGGCTTGATTGGGCTGCAACCCCCTCCTCCCAAGGGGGGCGGGGGTGGCAAGTGGTTGGGCAGAAAGTTCTGCCGTCTGATTGGGATCCCGACCTCCGAACGATGGGCGCGCGTCCTCGCTCCCCTTGGCCAACGCCGTCGGACCACCGGTCTGCACGATAGCCGGGTGAACATTCATGGACCCATCACCCCCTGGGGTACTGTTCCACATCGTTACGGCAGCACCAGTGGTAGCGCTAGGAGGAGGAGGAGGAGGAGGAGGGGGTGCAATGGGAGAGGGAGGATTGCTGCTGTCTACGATCTGACACCCGGGATCAGCGATCGACCTCGAGTCGGTTGATGGCACAACGGTCAACTGCGAAGAAGAAGAATCGGTAAGCGAGAACGGAGTTGCTTTCTTGTATGGAGGGGGAGGGGAAGGGGGAGGGGGAGATGAGGAGGGAGGGGGAGGGGGAGGGGGAGGAGGTGCTGTCACAGCAGCCGAGCTGGCATGACTGCTCAGCAGCTCTCTAAGAGCCATGATCATCCCATGTCGAACTTCCCACACGGGATCGAAGACGCCATGCAAGAGCGCATCGCAGAACGAACCCAACGGCCATTTCCCAGCTTGCCATGCGCCGCCATCGCCAGCATCATCATCATCAAGCACCACCTCCATCACCAGCTTGTTGTCTTCCTGTGGCTGTTCCGTCACCATCGTCTTCGTGTTCTTTAGCCGCTTGGCAGCTTGCCTACCACCACCTCCTCCTCCTCCTCCTCTCCCCTCCCCTGCACAAGATGAAGCACCCATATCCAGACTCCGTCCAGAAGACGACAATCCCCCTCCTCCCCCCTCTTTGACCATCTCCTTCGCTTTCCGCTTAAGCTTGTTTCTCTCCCGCGCGCTCAAACCCTTCTGCTGTTGTTCGAAAGAAGCACCCATACCCTTACCCATACCTATAATCTTCCCTCCTCCTCCTCCTCCTCCTCCTCCTCCTCCTCCCCCTCCTGCTGCTGCTGCTGCGGTTGAACAAGAAGAAGAAGAAGACCCTCTTCCCCCCCCCGATGCAATCATGGTCCCCATCAATTCCTGCACCTCCTGTTTCTTAACAGCCCCTCCCCCCCCCCCCCCCCCCCCCCCCCCCCCCCCCAACCCACCCGCCACCACACACACCCCCCCCCCCGCACCCCGGGCCCCCCGACACCCGATCAATCAGATCTTCGTCGTTGATCATATCCTTGATATCCACGAACTGCTCGCAATGCTCCAGACCTAATCGACGGCGGAGATTCATCCGTTGATTAGAAAGCCGCTCCGCAGGGGTCTTGCTCGTGTCAATAATTACATCGTACTCTTGTCCCCCTGAAGACAGAAGAGGCGCGCCGTAGTCCAAAACCCTCACCACATCAAAACTGGAAAACGACAAAAGTGGGGTAATCTGCGAATCCCCGTCCTTCCCGCCAGCACTCTCGTCCTGCTTATCCTCCTGTCGCCGCACACCCACACCTTCAGCAGCAACAACCATAGTAGACCCCCCCTCCATCTCCCTGCCCTTCCCCTCCTGACACGTGGACGCATCCCCATACGTCTCCTCGCGCAGGCAAGCCATCACTTCTGCCACCCGATTGACCGACAACCCTGCCTTCCGCACGGCCTTCTCTGCGACTTCCGCCAGGTCCTCCACACTGACATGGGGTACGTTCTGGGCGATAGCTCCGACGGCCTGCGCCGCCGCGACACGTGTATCCCAGCTCCGACTCCTCAATAGCGGCCATAACCTGTGAAGGAGATGGTGGAATTCCCCCCGATGTTGCTTAGCAATCTCTCCAATCTGTTTGGCGGCGGCGCGCCGCGTCGCGGCCGTAGAACCTGTATCGAGCAAGGTGAGGAGGCGGTCCAAGCGCGTGGTTCCCCCGCTCATGGGACCGCCTCCTCCGCCTCCTCCGCCTCCTCCTGTCGCCATTTCATCAGCACGGGTTAACGAGGCAGATTAGGACTGCGTTAGTGAAACCGATCACAGCCGTCGATCGTCGATTACCACGTGGCAAGCCGATGATCGCTGATCGACGATAAAGACATGGAACACGAATCACCGACTACCAAAATAGGCGCACCTGTTCCATTCCATTATTATCCTATTACTAGTACCTACTTGATTGATTGATTGACGCCGTGGCCGCCGATGGATAACACGCGTCACCAAATTGCTCACCTAATTAGTGTCCTCGATCACACTAAACCATTGGCCATTACCACAGCCATCGCACCCACACTAACCTTCCTTTCACAATCTCCCCAAACTAATCAAACAACTCGTTCTCTCTCTCTCTCTCTCTCTCTCTCTCTCTCTCTCTCTCTCTCTCTCTCTCTCTCTCTCTCTCTCTCTCTCTNCTCTCTCTCTCTCTCTCTCTCTCTCTCTCTCTCTCTCTCTCTCTCTCTCTCTCTGTGTGTGTGTGTGTGTGTGTGTGTGTGTGTGTATGTGTGTGCGGATTGATCTCGCTATCAGCATACGTGCACAACCTTAGAGGGCATTGGGAAATACTGAGTGACGTAAAAAAGATGTTTCGTATTCAACAATGTAAATCACATCTGAAAGAGCATTAAGGGACGGATCTCCGACTACTGTCGAGATCGGGAGGTCAGGCTCGGTGTTGGGTTCGGTATTAGGCTCGGTATTAGGCTCGGTGTTTGGGCTCGGTGATAGGCTCGCTTAGGCTCGGTGTTGGCCTCGGTACTAGGCTCGATGTTAGGCTCGACTAGGCTCGGTGTTGGGCTCTGTACTAGGCTCGGTGTTGGGCTCGGTATTAGAGTCGGTGTCGGGCTGGGTACTAGGCTCAATGTTGGGTTTGGCATTAGGCTGGGTGTTCGGCTGGGTATTCGGCTGGGTTAATGGCTGGATATTATTAGGCTGGGTATTAGGCTGGGTAGGCTGGGTATTAGGCTGGGTATTAGGCTGGGTAGGCTGGGTACTAGGCTGGGTATTAGGCTGGGTAGGCTGGGTATTAGGCTGGGTATTAGGCTGGGTATTAGGCTAGGTATTAGGCTGGGTATTCGGGTGGGCATTCGGGTGGGTATTCGGGTCGATATTAGGCTCGATATTAGGCTCGATATTAGGCTCGGTGTTACGATCCGTGTTAAGGTTCTAGTGATAGATCACGGATTACTCTCTGATGAGTCGCAGATCGGGAAATACGGGACCGAGAAGTCGGCGATCTGTCCGCCCTTTCACACACCGCATTCAAACCACTCTATTACACGGTTTTCGGCTTTTACGCATGACGACCATCATCGACGACATCCGCTACGTCCTCGCTGCTCAACTTGCCACCTGCCACCCTCCTTAGAGCCACTTGCTCCACGTAGACGGCWSTGCCCGTGTTACAMATGGCTCTCTCTCTCTCTCTCTCTCTCTCTCTCTCTCTCTCTCTCTCTCTCTCTCTCTCTCTCTCTCTCTCTCYCYCYACACACACACACACACACACTCTACCCAAACATCTCTATCATCAGCGATGTTCCCGAGACACAAACAATACCAGTCTCTCCCAATCAATCAAACGGCTACGGCTCTCGTGGACCTCCCTCCCTTCTCCCCATGGCGATGTTCCCGAGACACAAACAATACCAGTTCCTCCTTTCCCTTCACCCCTCCCCACTACGCCTTCGCTGACCAACGGTCTATCGCGTCCATGGCAAACCATCACCTTCACTATCCCGACCTACGCGCCTGAGACGTCCATCCCTCCCGCATTCCTTGATTTTTTTTCCAAAAAAAAAAAAAAATTCATTTTTGTTTTTCGGGCGAATTCCGCCCCGCGGTCCCCGTGACAAGAAACGACGTCGCAGCCCTCGCGCTCCCGCCAAGGCTAACGCCAGCGTTTTGCCGCATGCTCCAGTCCATTTTCATTTCCAGCTGTCCGTTCGAGATTCGAACTCCTGACCGCCGCTGGAGGTCGCTTCGCGTACACGATTCTGCCGAGAGGAATTGCGGAAGGTTTGAGTTTATTAGGTTTTGTGGGATCGGAACATCGGGGATGGTCATACGTTTTCGACAGAATCTGGACGGACAAGCGATCAGGTGCATCCATTAAATTTTACTTTCCGACAGAATCTGTGAGGACTTGCGATCAGGTGCATCCATTAAATTTTACTGTGGGCGAGAATATCCCGAAGGGCCGTCCGCAACATCGAATCTTTTCACACCGCGAGAACTTCCGGAACGTTTGGTAAAACACAGCCGTAAAAAAAATTAAAAAAAACACAGCCCTAATCTGTACCCTGTTCAAAGCGATGGGAATTCCCTTGGACCCAGTTCCTGTGCACAACCTGCATCCATACCCGGGAAATGGCCCTTAAAAATTGTGTCCATGTCCGGGACCAAGGTGGGCCATGGTTGGTACCACCGAATTGCGGTTATGCCCAACTGCTGGAATGCTCAAATTGTGGATATAATCTGAATACCCAATTCTGCTGAACCCATTTGTGGGCATCAGCATAAGTTCATGCTCCTGGACCCAGACCCTGTGCAACCAGGTACAGGTATAATTTAGCGCAGGGGAAAAGTAGGGTATTGCCTAGCCCTAAGGGTAGATGTAAGGTTTTGAGGTTGAATACAAAGGGGGGAGGGAGGCAGAAAGGGGGGGGGGGGGGGGGGAGGGAGAGAGAGAGAGAGAGAGAGAGAGAGAGAGAGAGAGAGAGAGAGAGAGAGAGAGAGAGAGAGGTGTTGGATGGCAAAAATGGAATATGGGTCAAATTGCAGTCGCAATCTATTTCACGGTTGAAATATTTTAAAAAAATAATAATAATATTTTTGTTGGGTAGATCACAACAGAACCTACGGGCACTCCAATCTTTGGATATTTTCGCGCATTCTTTTTAGTGCGAAAAATTACTGAAGTTTGAGTACCTTTTTCGTTGGCCCACACATGGCTGAGTGTCAAAAATAAAAAATACACCGAATCGGCGTGGTGATTATTTTACAATCTTAAACCACCAGTACTTCCTAAGGTTGTGCCCATTAACAAGCCACGATTTTAGGAAACGTACAGGTCATTACAAGAGCATTCGAATTCACCCGACTATGAACATTTCTACTCTATTTTTTTCCACAACCGATAGTTGGTGTTGGTGTTGATGGTTCGAGACAAACATTCACAAAGTGCAAATACACAATAAAGTGCAAATACACAATGCACATATGCACACAGTCACCGAAGTGACACGTAGACACAACATAGTACCGTAACCCGTAGGTTTCCACTTCACAAACCAACGCACCCAAGAACCACCGTCATACCGCCAACCACCCTTGGTGACGGTCGGCCGTCGCCACAATCAGCTGTCACCGAAGGAACACAATAGGTCAAACCAAACTGATAGCTACGTACTTATAGGATGCAAAAGGTACCGGTTAGGCCTTCTCCAAGTGGACAAAGGCTAACCCTTCCGCTAAAACTCGAAAAAAAGAAACATCACAACCCGAAGTCCACGGGCCCAAACCCTTCTACACATTTCAACCTGAGTCTGACAAGTCCTAATGTCAGCAGACCCTTGCAACTCGATCTCTGACTACTACCGGGACAAATCCAGGCTACTTCAGGCCAATCCAATGGTGGCTTCTACTTAGCTGAAATACAGCACATCAAAACACAGCAAACCATTCCATTTCAGGACTGCGCTACGATGGCCCACACAGATTGAAACCTAGAAGCTAACAGCAGAACCTTCTACATATTTCAAACTGAGTCTGATAAGTCGTAATGTCAGCAGACCCTTGCAACTTCGATCTCTGACTACTACCGGGACAAATCCAAACTACTTCAGGCCAATCCAATGGTAACTTCTACTTAGCTGAAATCCAACACATCCAAACACAACAAACCATTCCATTACAGGAGTGCGCTCCGATGACCCATACAGATACAAACCTACAAACTAACAACAACCCTGTTCCAATCCTTCCAGAAATTTACTGCCAAAACCACAAACGACCCTGTTCGGGTCCTCCACGCATCAAACTCGCTATCTATCATATACGAAGTCCATCGTTCTTCGCCACAGTTCATCACGACGACCGTCGAATCGGCGAAACACCGTGTTGACAAACCTTTCAGGGAAATCCTTCTTCAAGAGCGCTTGTTGCAAACCCAGTACCTTACCTAAAATCTCGGCTCGAATGGAAGTGTTCTGATTAATCCTACTCAAATGACCACTGATAACCGCACTCTTTTATTTCTTACTCCCCCAGGAGTGGAATGATTGCCCATTTTGTATCAGCAGTCTGTCTTCGGTCCAAATCCTATCCTCATTTCGAGAGAGTTGTATGCTCCTAATAAACGGAAAAACTTGCTCCGTTCTGATCTGACAACCAAGAAATTTCAGGATTCCTATCCCGTCATCTGTCCTCTTCAGGGTCAGGTCTCTTGGATAACATTGGGTAAGGGCTTCGAAGATCGTCTGCCTCATTACTTCATCTTTGCTCGAAATTACAAGCAGGACGTCATCAATTAGCCCCAGGGCACCAAAACAGCGATTGGCGGGTCCTAGCATACAGGTCATTTGATACTCGGAAAAGGCACACATGATACAGGCTATATGTGGACTCGTGCTCTTACCCATGGGTACTCCAACAACCTGTTTCAAAAGGACACCAGTGGCAAAGCAAAATGTATGTTCCACTTTCAAGTGTACAAACTTCCTAATGTCCGACAAGTGTAAAAATTTTCAATGGTCTGCTCCCGTCGTGACTCCGAAAGAAGCCCCTTTCCCCCGAGTATTAACTCTCACAAACTCAAAACCCTTTGAACATTGGTGCTCAATAACCCAGTCTATGGCTCTCAACAATACCTTATAAGGAAGCTTGTTGAACATTTCCTTCACATCGAAGGAATAAGAATTGATTGTACGTTCACCATCTAACCGGCTTAGCTTACTATTCAAGACTTCCAAACGGTTCGTGAGATCAGAAACAAAATGCAGGTTAAAATGTCAATTCCTCGGTAATTTGTACAGCAAGTGATTCAAAGCCTTACTCATCAGGCGTGTTGTTCGAACCATTGGTTCCTTGAACGAAGGACAAATCAGTCTAAACCTACTAAAGTCCTTCTGTTTTGGAATCACATATGCTGAGCCGAACGTTCCATTCCCCTCCCAATGCACCAGCTTACCCAAACCCTGGCATTGCACATCTTCCCGTAACTCCCGCAATGCTTGTGTCTCCGAGTACTTCACGATTCGATACCCGGGATTACACACAAAAGTCGTCATCATAGCATCAAAATATGTGCCTGGACACATGGCCACCGATTCCCCTGAATTCCGATCCACCGGGGCGATCACCAACCCTTTTAGGTGATCCTTCAGGGCATATACCTCAACTACTGATACACAAGAGGACTGAACATCACGTACAGAGATACAAGCCGATAAGTCAAAGTCAGAGTTGTCCGGGATGTAGCCCCGCGTATTCCTCCACGTTCGAAACCCGAACTCAATTCTTATCGCAAAAGTCGTTGTCTGTCTTCACATCCAACTCTCGGGTGTTGTTAGAGTTAACCAAAAGTGGGTGCACATCCAACCTCACTCAGGCGGAATAGCACGTGCCCATTCACACGCGAAAAATTAGAACCTGCACAATCACAGGTAAGCACACCATGAGTCGATGCCACTCTATGGTTGTGCAACATCTCGGCTCTTTGCGTCCAGGTTTCCTCTTAGCGGATTTCTTCGTGTGCTTACTTCCTACGGTATTAAGGAACGGGGATCATCTACTTATATATAATTCCTCCAACTTACTCAAGTCTTTCCCTCCAAAGGTATCTACAGGGAGGAGAACGTAGTTACCGGTCCCAAAGGAGGAAATTCATCTATAAAAATGAGACTGCGTACGTTTTCGAACTGCATACAGATGTTCACGCCGCCTAACGTCGACTGTACGTGTCGTTTTACCCACATAGCATAGTTTACAATAAGGAGAAACGACTACGTACACTACACCGGTCAGATTCAAAAACTTAATACCGTAAGTAGCATACAATCTTATCCACGTCTCTTCATACTTGCTCAACCATTTGACCTTTTTCATCAACATCAGCAGGACCATAACCAAACGAAGTAGCAACTCCACATTCCGATTAGTATAAACCTGAGAGCATCATACGCTAGTGAGATACCTGCAAAAATCAAACCAACCTGTTGGAGTGACATCACATCACCCCTGCGTATCAGCGGAGTCTTCATCCCTCACATCGGTCGAATCCGCGATTCGGACCACTTCCGTCTGAGGTGAGGCGGCTGCGTATTGTTGTTGAGCCTGATGTTCGGCGAGATCAAAGATCGCGTCGACCTTCCCCACATACAGGATACCTTTATCTTTACAGTAACGCTGAAGCTCATCATCATTACAATCTTTCAACTCATGCATAATCGAGTCCCGATACCGCAGGCGAGCCAAGGCACGTTCGGCAGGGGTGATTCTCCCACTCAGTGGAGACTTCATCTGTCCTGACTTCACCAACTTCGTTAGCGAGGTCTTGACCGGGGTCTTCCTCTTCGTCGGGATCGGGGTCCGTACCCCTCGCTTCGATCTTGCCCGTGTCGTACGAAGATCCGCTTTACCCGTCTTAATACCCAACCGCTGAGGAGTTCTCTTTGGTGGTAACTCCATGGGTGGGTTGTTCACCAGCCTAGCTTCCTCGCCCCGCTTCCTCTTTTCGCTGATACGCAAGCGGCGGGTTTCCGCACTCAACTCCTGTGTGACGCTAGTCTCGCTATCACTATTGTTGTAGTTAGGATCACTCTCCTCTGCTGAATGGTACACTACCTTTTTCTTTCCTCTCACATCGCCCGTTCTTTCAGCTAAAGCCGGCAGCACGGATGTCTTCCATTGATTAATCCAGTCATCCTTGATCTCGCTCATAAGCAACGCCGCATGTACTGTCACATCCTTCTTCATCTCCGCTCGTAGTGCAGCCTCCTGCTTTGCCTTTTTCTCCTTCTTACGTAGCTTTGCTTCCCAACATGCCTCTTCTTGAGCTCTCATAGCTTCTTCCTCCTCCAGTCTCCGCTTCTCCTCCTCCTTCTCCTTCTCCCTTTCCATCTTGCGTCGAGCTTTCTCATCTTTCTTAGCTTGTACCACATCGAAGTGCTCTTTGATCGAGGCAACGCCTTTGGAGAGTTCGGCCACCTTCTCACGTAGTTCAGACTCCTTCCTTGGTGAGTGTTCCCTTCTCGACTCGTATCTTCGTGGAAATCGAGATCTTCGGGAGTCGGAGGACGTGGAAGGGCGACATGGAAGCTGCCGCCGCTCACGAAGGGGACACTGATTAGCATAGTGCCCTTATTCATTGCAGTTGAAGCACGTTACGGGAGGCCGATGCGGTCTCCATTCCTTGTCATCACGCTGGTCCGAACTTCGTTCTCTATCATCACGCCAATCCGAGCCTCAATCCCGAGGATCTCTTCGGTCGGCGCCAGACATCTTCGGTCTCCTGGTATTCCGTCTTCTTCACATGATGTAGGTACAACCTCCCTCGTCTTCCTAGTTCGCCTCGCACAGGTCAACTCCCCGTCAAACCACAACGCAAAACTCTTGTGCGCCACCTAAAAACAAGTGGTACATGGATAATGACGCTCACTTCAAACCCGGTAGGATTCCCCAGGTGAGTTCACGTATGCGATCAGATGGTGTTGACAGTTCGAGACAAATATTCACAAAGTGCAAATACACAATAAAGTGCAGATACACAATGGGTATATGCACACAGTCACCGAAGTGATACGTAGACACAACATAGTAGCGTAACCCGTAGGTTTCCACTTCGCAAACCAACGCACCCAAGAACCACCGTCATACCGCCAACCACCCTTGGTGACGGTCGGCCGTCGTCACAGGTCGCCGTCACCGAAGGAACCCAAGAGGTCAAACCAAACTGATAGCTATGTACTTATAGGATGCAAAAGGTACCGGTTAGGCCTTCTCCAAGTGGACAAAGGCTAACCCTTTCGCTAAAACTTGAAAAAAAGAAACATCACAACCCGAAGTCCACAGACCCAAACCCTTCTACATATTTCAACCTGAGTATGACAAGTCCTAATGTCAGCAGACCCTTGCAACTTGATCTCTGACTACTACCGGGGCAAATCCAAGCTACTTCAGGCCAATCCAATGGTAGCTTCTACTTAGCTGAAATACAACACATCAAAACACAGCAAACCATTCCATTACAGGACTGCGCTACGATGGCCCACACAGATAGAAACCTACAAGCTAACAGCACACCCTTCTACATATTTCAAACTGAGTCCGACAAGTCGTAATGTCAAGTACAGGTCGTTGGCCCACACCGATAGTTGGGCCAAGTACTGGTGGTTTAATGATGTTTGGAATTTTTTCTGATATTCTTTTCGAAAATGTCACACGACCTAAGCTACGAATTCTCAAAAATTTCAGATTTTTTAAAATTGTTCTGAGAACAAAAGATCATCAAAGTTGTCTCTCATTCACTCCTTACAAGTTTTTTTGGGGGGCCCCTTTAGAACGAGGATATGTCGTTTGTTTCTTTCAAGTACGGGTTCTATAAGAATTAGTTGTTAGTCCTCCAAAATCGGCAAGGACCGGTCCCCCAACAATTCTTACCTCGATGGAACTCCCTTGCTCGCTTGTCGCCCGCCATTAAAAATACAATACCTGGATACGGACTTCAAAAATTACTATACATCATCCTTAGGGCTGCGAAATACCTCAAGTTCGACAAAGTTTGGGTATGGATGCAAGTTGGGGTATGAAGATAGGCAAAAATAAAAAATCATTTTGAAATAGGGTATTGATCTCATTTTTCCTTTTTAAAAAAGGGTAACCACTAACTTGTAATTGTAGCATTTTATAATAATTCAACCTCACGACCTCTTTACCAATAGTTATGGACATAGACGGGAAGATCTAAACAATTCTATTATAATTTATTTATCATTGTTGCACTGCTTTTTCGGGTGCATCAACCCATATGCACAATAATGTCTAAATGAGGCCTAGTCGCACCATACATGAAATGAAGTATTGTTAGCTTATAAGTAGCGGTGCCACTCTCGCGACCCTTTATAACATAACAACTTCAAGTTTCACAAAGCATACCTTACCTTCACCTAAAGAGTTGCTATATCAACGCCAAACTATCATTTTACACATAGCGATTTTTTATTTTTGTGCCAAAGGAAAGTCAACGTAAGGCATTGCTTAATCCCTACAGCATTGAGAATAACACACAGTAATGCTCAAATCGTTGGTTGGTAGCGAACCGTCGCTTAGGGAATTTGACCTGTTACTTCGTATTTACCCTACCTTACAACTTGAGTAACTTTCAATTAGGCGCAGATTTATAACTCATTTTTTAGACAAAGAGTTAATAGTGACTTGCACGGTTGCAATAAGTAAACCCTAACTATGAAAATTTTATGTGTTTGTCACTAAAAAGTTGTCATGCTAAGGCCTTACGTGTTGTCACTATGAAAACCTTTATGGAGCTGACTTACAATATTTGCTCACTTGACACCAACGGTGTTTTCGTTAAAAGTGAAATTATTTTCATGTTCACTTTTTCTTTTAAGTGTAAAATAACACATAAGAGAGGAGAAAAAAAACAAAACAACTATGAAACAAGACGAAATGGTGAAAGCTTAGCATTGAAAAGTTTAAGAAATACATCATTATACAATAAATAAAGGATTCGTAAAAACCCAACAAAACCTATAAAACCCAACATTTTGTATAGAGTGAAGTCGTGGAAGTGAAACAGTTGTATTTAAAAAAAAAAGAATGACGTCTTTAATCCTTTCTTGAAAGGCGAGACAAAAAACTGAACTAAAAGTGAAGCGATCTTAAAAATGTGTCGTAAAACCCTTTCTAGCAAAAGTCTTGTTATAGGACTAAGTGATGTCCAACAGACCGGCAAACAACAGAGTTCCAATAAAAAAAATTGTAGCGCGAACTCGAAAGCTGTAAAAAAAATAGTTTTAGTGAATACTGACGTATATAACTATACGTCGCTTTCAACAGTATAAATTCTTATAAAGCAATTTTGAATCTAACAGTAGAAACGTTCTAAAAATATATATGAAATATAAAATAATAACACAAACAACTTTTGCCTCAAATGCATCCTCAAATTATTACTCAAATGCAAGTTAAAAAAAAATCCGAAAAAAAAAAAAAAAATCTATAAAAAAAAAAGAAAAGGTTGTCCATAAAAGTGAGAATATGTAAGGGGAACGTAGTCACAAACAAAATAACATGTCAATCTGCTCACGAAACCTTCGAACACGTTCACCATGCTACATGACCTATAAGAGTATACACACGATCTTTTAAGACAATAAAAAACTGCATATTTTTATTCCTTAATAAATGAGGTTTCGCTTATTAGTGATTTTTTATGAACAAACATGTTTTTTTCTCGCTACGTATAGTGGTTCTAAAAAATCGTCTTTTTATTGAAGTTATTTTACTTCACGTGGAATCTTGCTCTTACAAGAGGCCTAAATACTGTACTTTTAGAATCTTCAATAAATTTTGTCCAAACCCAACGTTTTTTTTTTTTGGCTTTTCACGAATCTTATGTTAATAACGTTTTGAAATTGTGGAAAGCAATACCAATCATTGAAACTATTATTAAGCGTAAAAAAAATGTTCAATGACACATACCAACCATTGAAACTATTCTCAGCCATCAACAAAGTGTTGAATGACGCATATCAACCATTGAAACTATTCATAACTATGAACAAAGTGTTCAATGATATCATAAGCTGCATATGTGGAATGTTCACTCACGCTCGACCATCAAGAAAATGTCGAATGTGATTCTATGCCTCATATGCGGGATGTTGTCTTGCAATAATTTGAATGGATGAAAGTGACCTTTCGATAGCAAAGATGCAAAACCTAATATAAAAACACCACAACTACAATCATCCTGTTGGACAGGCACCCCGTCAAGCAATGTGTCGAAAGATGTTGTAATGTCGTCCACATGGTATTTTTCATGAAGATTTTGACGTTCGAACGTCATTCTAAAGAACGCGGCTAATAGTTCACGCGATGCGAGGCGGTCAGCGCGACGGAGAGATCCACAAGGCGAAATTCACATTTGCGACCGTCTATTCTTACACATGCCAAAACCAAGTGATTCTTAAAGTTAAGAAAAATAAGTACAAAGTTGAAATCAAAAATATTTTTTCCTCTAACCCACTTTATTCCCTCACAGTAAGCAATTTTTATTGACACTGCAGATGTCAATCTGACATACAAAACAAAATATAAAATATACACAGATGGAATTTCATTAGGACTCTCGTCTCTAATCTCTTCTCTGAACATCGAACTTTGTCTGACATTGTCGTTGTCGATCTGGATGGTTAGCGGATACAAATTCACGGCTTCGTCATTCAACCATCCTTTAGCTTCGATGATGATCATGATGTTTTTTTTTTCCACCTTTCAATCACCCTTGTAAACAATGATGTCGTATTCCTCTATCTTCACTATTTATCACTGTCCTTGCATCTCGACCTCGCTGAGGCGTACTGTTGCTATAAGAATCATGAACGACGGGTCAGTCACTGCATACAAACACACACGTAAACAACAACGGTATGTCTAAGACTTCTGTACAAGTGATGCCTTTCCGAAAATCGATACATGCAGCGAACACGAGTTCATGACGATGCTTGTTTGCCTACTTCGCTGTCGCTGCTGCTTTCCACATAGACAACGTGCAACCTTCACGGTGCAATTTTCTCCCTTGTTTGGTGTCTTTTCCTACAACTTTAAACATCCTTAGGGCAGTTGGCTTCACAAACGGGATCGTCACATGTTCGATGCGTCTTCTAACTTTTTTGGGCAACAACGGCAGCGTCGGCAAGGCTTGCAAACCACGACGTATAATATTTTTGTCACTGTTCCTTTGCGAGTGCATACGAGGCGCTTTCCACAGTCCTTTACGCAGGCTTGCACGTTCATCAACGTAAAGACTACAATCATGACCAATAGTGACAAGTAATATGAGTGACGTTCAATTTCATACTATTAAAAATTCGCTTAAACAACATGAATGTGAATAAACATTAATAACA